ATTTATTTTGACAATGCAATCTTTCTTTTGAGGAACACTATGACATTCTCAGTATGATACCATTGTAATTAACTAGTTATTCATAGCAGGAAAGGAGCAAAGGGAAGGTCAAATATAGGCTTGTCATTTGGACAGCTTCACTAGGAAGCTAAAGCTGTAGGCTCAGCCACCAGTCTATTTCTCACAGATTGCTGGGGGAAGGGACTAGACAGGGAGGAGTAGACTCATGTCCAGTAGAGTTGGGGGGACACAGAGAAGGTACTTGCCAGTCACATCAGGGAACAGATCATTGGCCAGAATGGGCACGGCCACAGCAAGAGTGGGTAAAATTGGGATACTTAATTCCCTGAACAAAGAAGCTCCCTCTCTTCTGCTTTTGGTTTCTCTTGGTTCCCCTTATGTACTTGGGACTCTTATTGGTCAGGGTGAGCTCTCCTGTAGTCGTCCTCATGGTCCATTAGTTGTCTATTGCTGCTGTAACAAATGACCACAAACTTGGTGATGTGGGTCTCACTGAGCTAAAACTGGACACAATGGACTAATGGGCTATAACTAGCCTGATGCTGAACTGGACCCAGCTGCAACATGGACTGGAAAGTCTGGACACTGGCCTTGCTTTTAGTTTTACTGAAATCCCAGCTACACTTCTTCTATGACTGGGACGGGACATTGGAAACCCAGTCTCCCAGAGTGCTGGGGGAAGGGACTAGACAGGGAGGAGTAGACTCATGTCCAGTAGAGTTGGGGGGACACAGAGAAGGTACTTGCCAGTCACATCAGGGAACAGATCATTGGCCAGAATGGGCACGGCCACAGCAAGAGTGGGTAAAATTGGGATACTTAATTCCCTGAACAAAGAAGCTCCCTCTCTTCTGCTTTTGGTTTCTCTTGGTTCCCCTTATGTACTTGGGACTCTTATTGGTCAGGGTGAGCTCTCCTGTAGTCGTCCTCATGGTCCATTAGTTGTCTATTGCTGCTGTAACAAATGACCACACACTTGGTGATGTGGGTCTCACTGAGCTAAAATTAAGGGCGATGTTCCTTCTGGGGACCTTAGGGAAAAATCCATTTCCTTGCCTTTTCCTTCTTCTAGACGCCTTTGCATTCCCAGGCTCCTGGCCCCCTTCCTCCACCTTCAAAGCCATAAGTGCTAGTTGAGGCTGTTAAAGGACAAAATTCAATTTTAAAGTCTAATTGGTTTTATATTAAGCAATTCATGAATCAGGCAGCATCTCATCTAGCAACTAGAAAGGAGCTTTAAGGGGTTGTTCAAACGGAAAGATTTTTATAGGCAGAAGGGCTATTATTAGCAAAAGCAAAGAAAGGATTATTTTGTCCAGCCCGTGTTTTGAGTGTTGACCTATGAACCAGGAAGTTTTGATTCTCGGTCAGGGCACATGCCTGGGTTTCTTTGGGCTTGGTTCCCAGTAGAGAGCTTGCAGGAGGCAGCTGATTAATGATTCTCTCTCATAGTTGATGTTTCTACCTCTCTCTGCCTCTCCCTTCCTCTCTGAAATAAATACAAACATACCTATATATATGATTATTTTTAGGTCAGGTCACATTCTTTTGAGCGAAGGAAATGGAAGGGGTTCTATCATGTAGATTACCTACCTCTCTGGTATTGATGATCAGGAGATTCCAGACTCACTGATTTAAAATTCTATTTCTGGGAGAGGCAGAAACTGCAATTAGGGTAGTAAGTTTTTGTTTGGTGACATGGCTTAGCAAAACTGACTCCATTTCGGTCCATTGTTTATTTTATTAAATAAATATATGATCCATTTTTATTTTTTTATTTTCTAAAATATATTTTTATTGCCCTAGCCAGTTTATTGCTTAATGGATAGGGCATCAGCCTGTGGACTGAAGGGTCCTGGGTTCAATTCTAATCAAGGGGATGCACCTAGGTTGCAAGCCCAATCCCTGGCCCTGGTGGGGGCCCATGCTAGAAGCAATCAATTGATATGTCACTCTCACATCAATGTTTCTCCTTCTCTGTCTCCCCTGCTTCTTTCCACTCTCTCTGAAAAAATCAACGGACAAATATCCTCAGGTGAGGATTAACTAGTTTTACACACACACACACACACACACACACACGTATATATATTTATTTCAGAAAGGAAGGGAGAGGGAGAGAGAGATAGAAACATCAATGATGAGCCCTAGCCGGTTTTGCTCAGTGAATAGAGCAATGGCCTGCAAACTGAGGGTCCAGGGTTCCATTCCTGTCAAGGACACATGCCTGAGTTGTGGGCTAGATCTCCAGTACAGGAGGCAGCCGATAAATGATTCTCTCTCATCATCGATGTTTCTCTCTCTCCCTCTCCCTTCCTCTCTGAAATCTCTCTTCCTCTCTAAAATCAATAAAAATATATTTTTTAAAAAAAGAAGCATCAATGATGTGAATCACTGACTGGCTGCCTCCTGCACGCCCAGGGGAATTGAGCAGCAACCAGGGCATGTGCCCTGACCATGCATGGGAGTCAAATCATGATCTCCTGGTTCATAGGTTCATGTTCAACCATTGACCCACACCAGTGGGGTCTTTCTTTCTTTCTTCCTTTCTCTCTCTTTCTTTCTTTCTTTCTTTCTTTCTTTCTTTCTTTCTTTCTTTCTTTCTTTCTTTCTTCCTTCCTTCCTATCTTTCTTTCTTTCTTTCTTTCTTTTCCTTCCTTCCTTCCTTCCTTCCTTCCTTCCTTCCTTCCTTCCTTCCTTTCTTCCTTCCTTCCTTCCTTCCTTTCTTTCTTAAAAAGACTATTAAAAAAATAAGCATTTTTCTAAAAGGCCAAAGTGTGAGGAAATAAGCCTTTATTTGAGATCCAAAAGAACAGCTATCAGGGGAGGACAGATTCAGAAAGAAACCCAAATAGGGTTTTGATTAGGAGATGAAGGCAAGAGATATTTATGAGGAAGGGGAATGATTATTTGAATAGAAGGAAGGAATTTTCTATAGGTGCATGATTACTAACATAGTGATGCTAATTCTAAAGAATATCTTTAATTTTTACTCCAGTGTTCATTTCTGCTTTCCTGTTAGCTTTGCAAACAGTTGTTTGGAATACAGTGCTGCTTTAGGCCCAATCCAAAGGTTATTTTGACCAGTTTCAACATCCCAAAGGTTTGAGGAGTAACGCACGCTAGGTAGTTCCTCTGGGATGGCAGCTACGGCTCCATTTTGAAGTGCCTCTGTTTATTACTTTTTATAAGGCCTTCTCACACCACATCACGACCTCCTCTGACTTCATTTTCCACTTTTAAAGACCCTTGTGACAATATCAGGCCCAACTGGAGAATCAGGATAATCTCACTATTTTAAAATCAGTTGATTTGCCCTGGCCAGGTGGCTCAGCTGGTTGGAGCATAAAGTGCTTCATAAAGTTTTCAGGTTCGATTTCTGGTCAGGGCATGTATGTAGGCTGCAAGTTCAATCCCAGGTCAGGGCGTGTATGTGAGGCAACCAATCCATGTTTCTCTTTCTCTCTCTTTCTCTCACATATGTCTCTCTCCCTTCCTCTCTCTAAACATATCCTCCAGTGAGGATTACAAAACAATCAGTTTATTTGCAACCCTAACTCCCCTTTGATTTGCCCCCAGTTCCCAGGGATTGGGAAGAGAACATTTTTGGGGAGCCATCATTCTGCTTATTAGCCATCACCTTTGCTCAAAAGTCTAAATTGAGGGTTTGCATATAGGTGATATGGGCGGGAGGGGGGGTGGTTTGGCAATAAATGGGAAAAGTTTTTGGAATAATAACTGTAAATATAAAGAGGCCCTGCTGCATGATCTTTGGCAAATCACTTGTTTTAGTATCCACATTTCTGCTGAAATGGAAATTGCCATCTTTGCTCTGTGTCAAATTATTTAATTATGTAAATGAGTTTAACTTAGAGCAGTGATTTTCAACTTTTTTCATTTCATGGCATACACAAATTACTAAAATTCTACAGCATGCCCAAAACTGTATTATATTTTTTGCCAATCTGACAAAAAATATTAGGTATAATTTTGATTCATTCAAATCAGATGGCTATTGTTGTGTTGTCATTTTAAAATTTGACAATCTAAGGGAAAAGAGGTCAGTGCCCCTGACTATAGTCAGGTATTGAACATTTTAAAAATTCTTGCAGCACACTAGTTTGCTGTGGCACACCGGTTGAAAATCGCTGGCTTCGAGGATGTGGCTCAAGAAGTTCTTGATGAATCTTGTAAGGAGGGTGGGCAAAATTCTCTGAATGACATCTGGAAATTGTTTGAGAGACTTTGGAGGAAAGTGAATAAAGTTGGGAGGTTGAAAATTCTAGAAAAAGGAATCAAATTAATCCAAGCTTTTCAATTAAGGTTTGAGGAAAAGGGCCCAGGTTTAAAAAAGGGAGAAGTAAATAGGTTGCTTAGGAGGCACTCAGGTGATAGCACATTTGTGAGATCTTTGTAGGCAAAGGGTTAAATTTTATGAAACTGCCTTCATATATATATATATATTAGTCATAACAATTATCACTTGGTGAACAAATAAAAGAATTAAAAGTGTTGGCCAGAAAAGCGTAAATGAAATGGTGCACTTGGTGAACAAATAAAAGAATTAAAAGTGTTGGCCAGAAAAGCGTAAATGAAACGGTGCAGGTTCCACCGAGATTTGAACTCGGATCGCTGGATTCAGAGTCCAGAGTGCTAACCATTACCCCATGGAACCACCACATACGTAAAGGCGCCTTCGACTCTCTAATTACCCCTCCCCCACCCACGAAACCACCGTGAAGAAGCAAAATCGATCCGTTCCAGCAAGGAGGTGCGGAAAATGAGGGAGAGGACACTAAGAGTGTGGTGAGCGGCTGCAAACCGTGTAATCAGCGAGGAGTCCAGGGCTGTTTCTCCTTTGCGCCTCCAGGAGGAGGTGAAAATCTGAAGACATACACGGTACTCGCACGGCCCTCCCTTCCTGGGCTCAGGGGCGGGGCGCAGCCTCCCGGAAGCACTTCCCCTGAGGTCTACCGGAAGTGGCGTCCGGCAGGGAGGGGTTCTTTACCCGGTCAGGCAGCTGAAGCTCGGCGCTTGGGTTACCCCTGCAGCGACGCCCCCTGGTCCCACCGAAGCCACTGCTGCTCCCGCCCCTTCACTCCTCGGCCGCGCCATGGGCACCCGCGACGACGAGTACGACTACCTCTTCAAAGGTGAGGCCATGGGCTCTCCCGCTCTCTCCCGACTCCCGTCCGGGGGCCCGGGACACTCCCGGGGGGCCCGCGTGAGGCCACCTCAGGACTGAAAGTGGCCTTCCTCCGCCTTTCCCTCTCCGTGCGGCTTGCCCCTTGGCCTCCCAGCTCAGCACTTTTCCTTCCTTCCGACGGGGTAGGGATGGTCCTCGCCAGCACCAGCCCGGCTCAGGGCGACCTCCTCGTAGGCCTTCGCCAGCCTCGGAGCCCCTCACCGAGTGTCCTGGCGGCGGGCTACCTTCTCCCGGGTCATCTTCCTTTCCCGGGTTTTAGGCCCCTTCTCGGGGGTCGCCCCTCCCACCATCTTCTCTTTGGGATTTGGCGCCCCCTCCCCCTCGGTCTGCGCTCGGCCGGGCTCCTGCCCCCCGGCGACCCGCCCTTCGCTCCGCTCCTCACCTAGCCTGGGCGCCGACCGCCACCACCGGCCTTCCCTTATCCGCCTCCCTGTCCCCTCGGCGTCTCCCCACCTTCCCCTCGGACACACAGCTCCCCCAGCCACGTCCATCACGGGGCCAGGCCCTGGTGAACATCTGCGCGGCCAGCGGCCCCCACCGGCCCACAGCTCCGGCCGCCGGTCACCTCGCGCTGCCCCCGGGATTGGCAGCCCTTTCTCTGCCTTCCCTCCCCAAGCGGTGCTGAGCGCTCCCGGGGCGTCGGTGCGACCCCGAGGCTGGGGCGCCGGGCCGGAGGGGGTGGCCCGTCACTCCAGTGTTCATTTCTGCTTTCCTGTTAGCTTTGCAAACAGTTGTTTGGAATACAGTGCTGCTTTAGGCCCAATCCAAAGGTTATTTTGACCAGTTTCAACATCCCAAAGGTTTGAGGAGTAACGCACGCTAGGTAGTTCCTCTGGGATGGCAGCTACGGCTCCATTTTGAAGTGCCTCTGTTTATTACTTTTTATAAGGCCTTCTCACACCACATCACGACCTCCTCTGACTTCATTTTCCACTTTTAAAGACCCTTGTGACAATATCAGGCCCAACTGGAGAATCAGGATAATCTCACTATTTTAAAATCAGTTGATTTGCCCTGGCCAGGTGGCTCAGCTGGTTGGAGCATAAAGTGCTTCATAAAGTTTTCAGGTTCGATTTCTGGTCAGGGCATGTATGTAGGCTGCAAGTTCAATCCCAGGTCAGGGCGTGTATGTGAGGCAACCGATTAATGTTTCTAACATTGATGTTTCCCTTCTTTCCTCCCTCCCTGCCTCCCTTCCTTTCTCCAAACATGTTGTCAGGTGAGGATTAAAAAAATTGAATCAATAGTCAATTGAACCAGGACCTTGTTCCTAAGACTGCTGGATGCTGACCAGTAGTCCTGAGGGCTACATCAAGCATGTCCAACTCGCAGGCCACCGGTCACGAGGTTGACATGCTTGGGCTACATGATTGAGCAAGGGAGAGGGAAGTTGAGTGAGTCAGGGTGCTGGGTGAGGCTAGTTAGAATCAAAAGGGGAAAAAAATAAAGGCCAGCCCTGGCCAGTTTGGCTCC